GGCCTCCCAAAGTGTTGGGATTACAGGCGTGAGCCACCTCGGCTGGCCTTTTCTTTTCTTTTCTTTTCTTTTTTTTGAGATGGAGTCTTGCTCTGTCTCCTAGGCTGGAGTGCAGTGGTGCAATCTTGGCTCACTGCAACCTCCGCCACCCAGGTTCAAGCAATCTCCTGTCTCCCAAGTAGCTGGGACTATAGGTGTCTACCACCATGCCAGGCTACCTTTTTTTTTTCGTATTTTTTCTCTTTTTTTAATTGGAGATGGGGTTTTGCTATGTTGTCCAGGCTGGTCTCGAACTCCTGACCAGCCTGGACAACATAGCCTGATTTGCCCCCTTCAGCCTCCCAAGGTGCTAGGATTACAGGCATGAGCCACTGAGCCCAGCCTCCCTTGCTGTGTTTCTGAGCCCCGGCTGCAGCCTAATGGGCCAACTGCTGGACAGTGGTCCTGAGTCCTGTTTGAACTGGTGCTGCCCCCACATCCTCTGTCCTGCTGAGAGCAGACACGTCTCTGCAACTCTATGGGTGGTAGGGGTGGGGATGAGGGGAGAAGGAGAGAGAGTTTCACTTGCACAGATTTTGGTGTATAGTTCTCTTTTGCACTCTGTCCAATCCCTTTTGCAAGTGTGGGGAGGGGGTGGTGCAGGGCTATGAGGTCACTGTGAGAAGAGGGGCTGTAGCAAGACCAGGGTCAAATGCACTTGGAGAGATGGCTGGGGACAGCTGGACTCATTACATCTACTCCTAAATGGAGGAAACAATCCCTCAGCTCTACAGCACCTGAGTCAGAATGTCACCACGGTGCTGCTTAACAAGATGACAGCTACCTGGCTTATGAGGGCCCCTGTTCTAGGGACAGATAGTTCATTCTGCCCTCCCAGAGCAGCAAGCAACAACCCCATGCCAGGAGGCCAATTGGCACATTAAGTGCCAGCTCCAATTGATTGATAGTAGCTGCCTGGCTCTGAAAGGCAGCTGGGATTGATTCACCACGCTGCCAGACACAGATGGACCCAGAAGTGGTCCCAGCAGTGAGTTCTTGCCTTGGGCCATTTCATTTTCTTAGTTTGGATAAAGGAATGATTGGGTGTACACACTGGACTCCTGATATGGGTGGGTAAGACAGGAGTGTCTGGTCACACCCCTCCACCACCCATGAGCATGGTTGTGGGCAGTTTGGTTCCGCAGGAGGCCTTGGGGAATGCAGTGAGCCAAGGACTGGTCATCTCCAGATGCATCTAGGGCAGGAAAGGCTGACAGCATGCATGAGCCAGGGTCACTGGCTAAGAAGTCATCTCAGGACCTCCCTGAGAAAAAGCACTGGGCATGAACATCCCTGCTGGTTCCCCCCACACCACAAGGTTAAGCGGGGCTGGCAGAGGGTCATGGTCCCACGTGTGCCTCACGTCTGGTGCTCTCAACCTGGCAAGGAAATGCAACCTATGCGAATCTCAACAGGCAGTGAAGCCACGGTCCTTTCTGACTTCAGGTAGGATGGAGAAAATGGGACAGCAGTACGGGGCCATAAACGCACAACGCCGCCTCCCCAGACCGAGAGCTTGTGGGGCTGTGAGGATGCCAGGAGGAGGTGAGGAAGGGCGGCCTCATGGGGGACCTGCAGGGTGGGACAGGCCCAAGAGGTCTGTACATCCAGGCTTGGTTGGGAAGGTGAGCCCCTGGTTTACCGAGGGGGTCCCTTCCTGCCCTGGTAAATAAAGCAGCCCCTACCTCCACCCCTGCCCCGCTGCGGGGTCCCAGGGGCGGTGAGAGTGGGAGAGCCCCCCAGGCTCCGGAGTCAGACGACTGCATTCAAGCAAGTGAGAACCTCTGTGAGGCTGTTTCGCAACTGTAAAATGGGGATAGCAGCAGTACTCTCCCTCGCGGTTTGCGTGAAGAATACAATTCGATGTCGACAGGAGGGCGCGGCGCCCAGCGCGCAGAGTAGCAGGCGCTGAAGAAGGGTACCTGTGAACTGGGGTTGGTGATGGAGGCTACGCGGCCGGAGTCCCGGGACTGGGCGCCAGCCATGCCAGTCCCTGCTCGGGGCTGGATGGTCGGGGGAATGTTCTCGTAAGTCGGCTGGGAAGGGGCGGCCCCGCGTACCCTGACACCGCCGCTGCAGAGATTCGGGCAGGTGCCGGGGCCTCTGCCCCTCCGGGAGGGGGCCGGTCATCCGCTGGGACTGACACCCCGGAGGCCCAATGGCAAGCCGTCACCTTTGCGCACTCGTCCAATCGGCGCCTATTGCCGCGCCGCGCCGGGTCTCTCGACCAATGGGAAAATTTGCGGTCTGATGGGGCGGGGCGGAGATCCGCGTCGCCGGCCCGGTTCGCTTTGCACACGGGCCGCGTGAGGGCGGGAGGGCTGACCCGGGGTCTCGGGCTGCGCTCTGGGCCCGCAGGGAGGGGGCGGCCCCGCACGGTCTCCCGCACCTGCCCGAGTTGCGGCCCCACGGACGGTGACCCGCGCCGTGTCCTGGGAACGCTGCCCCCCTCGCGCCAAGGGACCAGGGGACGCCCGTCTGGGGGCCGGGGCCGCGGCCGCGCTGCGGAGCCGCCCACGTTGCGCTCCAGGTAAGCTCGAGCCAGTGGGCGGGGTGCTGGACTCGGGGCTGGGACCGCAGGTCAGAGCTGGGACCGGGGGCGGGGCCGTAGATCTGGGCCGCGTTCCAGGCAGCGGTCCGGGCAGGGTCCTGTCCCCGGAGTCGAGATCCGGGCGAGGATCTGGGCCCGGCGTTGGAGCCCGTCTCCGCCCCACCCGCGTCTTGCCCGCGCGCGCTGCGGCGCCCGAGACCCCGGGCCGGCGGGGGCGGGTCCCTTTGTGCGCGGCCTCGGGGCCCTAGGAGACCCGGCCCGGCGCCTCGAACTGCGCGCCTCAGCTGAATGCGGCCGGACACCGCAGCCGTGTCAGCCCGGCGCGACGCTTGGCATCTAGCTGCCAGGGCCCCGCAGCCACGGAAACTTTCCAACGGCCCGAGGGGTGGCAGGCCGGGAACTTTCCTGGGGCAGCGGGACGCCGGGAAGCGCAGAGGCACCTACGGCCTGGAGGGATGTCCCTGCGCCGCGCTGCTCCCGCCGCCTTGGGGAGAGCTAGGGCACACCACCCGGATCCCCGGCCTGGGTCCCTCTCCCCACGTCGCCCTGCGCCCCCTCGGGGCCCGTGCAGAGACATGTCTTCTCTATTCTGAGGGAGCCTCAGTTCGGTTTGCTGGGGAGTCGCCCTGGGCAGGTAGCCTGAGATCTCCAGCCTTTCTATTTTAAATTTTAAATAATTAAATATTGTTTGCTTACGATATTTCACTGTTTCTTAGCTATGTGTAACATAACATACTGAAAATGGAACTAAGGGACTTCAGCTCCCTTTCTCTGCACATCCAGGCATATTTAGAAATAAGGAAAAGAAAGGCGCCCTGTGGGTATGTTTTACAGTAGGCTCTTAATACTGTGTCTAATAACCTCAAGCCGGTACCCACGCTGCTGTGGGAGAAACCTCCGCTATGGTGTGGGTAGTGGGAGCCTCCACCTCTCCCGACCCCAGCTTTTCTGGGGTAGCTGCCTTTACTTCTTCCTACTTCCTTACTACTGCCTTATTTGCCTTTACTCTGGGATTCAAGCTGTGGTTAGAGGTCCGGTCCAAACAGGACGGGTGCTACCTGTCTTGTATTCACTGTGTTGGAGCTGGGATGGTGCTGAATGCAGGGGGCAGTCAGTGCTCTCTTGCCCAGTGTGCCATGCCAATAGTTGATCAGTTCTTGAGCAGTTGATCCTGGCTCTAGGTCAGGCCACAGGGTGAGCCACAGTGTGTCTGGGAAGGCCTAGACTTTACCCCCAGTCTTGCTTCATCCTGTCCACAGTGTCTGCTTCTGCTGTTCCCTGACCTCACCCCAATCCCATTCTGGGGTCCACCAGGGCCCAGCAGAGGACTGGGCACAGAACATTTGCTGAGGGACTCAAGTCCCAGCTGAGAGGGTCATTGAGCACAGCCAAGCCAGCCCCTGCTCAGCTCTCGGCCAGGCTGCCCTGTCAGGCTCTTCTGCATAAACACGAGGAACTCTTGACCAAGGTCCCTCCTGGGTGAACAAGGTCAGGCCCTCAGCCCTCCTAAATTTGAGCCTCCCCCACCACCACATCTGGGCTGCTTGGCTCACATGTTTGCTCTGGCACCCCCTCCAGTGGTGGCCCTGTAGTCTCCTCCCAGTCCCAGGGGCCCCTCTGCATCTCTGTGGCTCTGTGAGGGTAGGTAGGGTAGCACCCTTCCTCCTGTTCATGCTACATAGGGGTTCAGGGTGAGTTCACTGTGCTCCTTCACCCCAGGAGTCTGGCCTGAGGTAGCATGAGGCTGTCCTGAGTGAGGACAGGAAGAGCAGGGGCAGCAGGATCCCCAGGCTCTGGGAGCAGCAGGGAGCTCTGTGCACAGACGCGAGGCACCACCCTCTGTCTAGCCCATCTGTTGTGTTCCCCGCCTGGCCCTGGCAGAGGGAGGGACAGGGTAGAGCTGGGATAGGGAGTCAGGGCCCACTCTGTAGATAGGGCCAGGAATGGAGGGTGGGGGTCCCGCGACAGTACTGCACTGCAGGGCACCAGGTGGGCCTCAGGGGTCTTGGGGACTTCCCTGATGGTAGCTTAGTCATGGGAAAGCATCTGTTATTTTGCCACCAGCTTTCAGTCAAGATCAGTGAGGCCGGGCGCAGTGGCTCACGCCTGTAATCCCAGCACTTTGGGAGGCCAAGGCGGGTGGATCACCTGAGGTCCAGAGTTTGACACTACCCTGGCCAACATGGTGAAACCCCATCTCTACTAAAAATACAAAAATTAGCCAGGTGTGGTGGCGCACTCCTGTAACCCTAGCTACTCGGGAGGCCGAGGCAGGAGAACTGCTTGAACTGTGGAGATGGGGGTTGCAGTGAACTGAGATTGCACCACTGCACTCCCACCTGGGCAATAGAGTGAGACTCTGTCTCAATAAAACAAACCAGGATGGGCCGGTCATAGTGTCTCATGCCTGTCATCCCTGCACTTTGGGAGGCCCAGGCAGGCAGATCACCTGAGGTCAGGAGTTCAAGACCAGCCTGACCAACATGGTGAAACCCCTTTCTTGGGCTGGGCGTGGTGGCTCACGCCTGTAATCCTAGCACTTTGGGAGGCCAAGGTGGGTGGATCACCTGAGGTCAGGAGTTCAAGACCAGCCTGGCCATCATGGTGAAACCCCATCTTTAAATAAATTTAAAAAAATTTAAAAATAAAAAAAATTAAAAAAAATATAAAGAAACCCCGTTTCTACTAAAAATACCAAAAAAATTAGCTGGGCCTGGTAGTGCATGCCTGTAATCCCAGCTACTGGGGAGACAGGCAGGAGAATCACCTGAACCCAGAAGACGGAGATTTCAGTGAGCCGAGATTGCACCACTGCACTGCAGCCTGGGTGACAGAATCCGTCTCAAAAACCCAAAACCAGGATGAAGTCTTGGGTTACTCTGAGGAGCTCCAGAATTAGAGGACATGGGATCAGGGATCCCTAGGTGGGCTTTCCTGGCTCAGGTGCTTCACATCTTGGCCTATTTCAGGTCGGGAAGGTGACCCAGAGCTGGTGGCTGTCTGGGGCTACAGAGTTCCCCCCATCCCTTAACCAGTTTGGCACAGGCCCTCCCCACTGCCCCTGTTGATTGAGGGACTGCCACCTCTCCCAAAGCAGCGGTGAGCCGAGCGTGGCCACCAGAGGGCAGCCGGGACCGCCATGGCAGGCAAGACCGGCTCCACCCAGCTTCCTGCTGCAGACCAGGACCCTTCCCCAGACCTGGCCTGGATGACTGGAGCTCAGCCTCTGAGCTGCCCATTGAGGGCTTGGAGTTGGAGAAGAGGCAAGCAAGGCCCCTCAGTGCCCTTCACGCGTGTGGTGCAAGGCAGAGGGAGGCCTGAGGGTCAGATGGTGGGTGACCAGACACAGGCTGAGCGGGGACAGTGAAGGGCCAACCCTGTGCCGATGTAGCCCCAAAAGTGCAGTGTCCTTCAGGTGTGTGCCCAGGCGCCCCCGTAGGCCTCCCCAGGTGTGGGCTGTGCCTCAGTGTCCACAGCAGAAGTGGGCATGTTCTCAATATGTGCCCAGAGTGGCAGCAGCCCTAGGAGAACACTCAGTTTTGTTGTAGTGGACACCATTGTCATTGAGCAGCAGAGACCTTCCCTGTCCAGTGGCCATGAGGCACTCCATGTACCTGCCTGAATTGGCTGTTGCCAGGGCATATTCTCAGCTACTTGCAGTCAGTGTCACCTCTCACTTACAGAGCAGGAAGCGAGGAGACTTGGGGAGGGGTGGCCTGCCGAGGCCATACTGCAGGGAGTGCAGAGCTCACTTGGGCTCCTCACTGCCTGCACAGCCCAGGCTGTATCCTCCATCCCAGTTCTGGGCCCAGTGTGTACTCGTGGGACCTGCCCCATGCTGTCAACCATCCAAGGGGCTGTAGATTGCCAGTCTGGCTATGTGGTCTGGGCTAGGCTCGTGCCCCTGTGTGAGACCTCTCAGCCCTCTGGTTGGACAATGGATACTGTGCCAGAACCACAGGCCTTCCTAGGGCTTCAGTGGGTTGGTCTGCAGGGTGTAGCCAGGGGCTGGAAGAGCCCCATGGCTAGCCACTGGGTCTGGACAGTTTGGTGGGGAGTCCCAGTTGGGGGAGGCCCATGCCACAGGCAGGCCCAGGCCATCCTCACTGGGAGAAAGGGTCCAGTAAGGGATGTGGTCATCCCCTGACCTTGAGGTGGCTGGTACCGGGTCCTTGGCCAGGCAGGTGACCCCAGAGCCTGCAGAGCACCACTGAGGTGATACTCAGAGGGGCTCTCCAACGTGAGCACCACCCCCCACCTTCCTATATGATCCCATCACTAGTTCTGCCTCCATATCACTGTCCTGTTTGTCGTCCCTCTGTCCATCCACTGCCCAGAGCTCCCGCAAGTTGGCCACAGATGCTCTGTTCTGCCCCTGCCTGTACGATACTGCTGTGACTAGTGCATCCTTAGGAGAGAGACCACAGCTCTCGCTGCTCCCACCACCCAGCCTCCTGTGGCGCTGCTGTTCTCTGCTCCCAACCATCTCCTGGGGCAAGCCCTCTCTGGTGCCCACCAGGGTCTCCTATTGGCTCTCCCATATGGTTGCAGGTTCTTGGCCTCGCTGGAGTCCATGAAGTGGGAGGCCTACGAGCAAGGTACCGTGTTCCTCTTTTGCCGCACTTCCCCAACTGGGTGGGGGACTTTGGGGGGCCCTGGGGACAGGAAGACCTGAGTTCAAATCCTGGCCCAGCCACTGTCTGGCCTGGGCCCAGTTTCTCCATGTGTCAAATGGGGTATGTAGCTGACCCGAGGCACCTGGTAGAGTCAGTGAGATGGCAGCTCACAGCTAGTGTGTCTCGAGTCTATGGCACATGGTGACTCCTGGGGAGAGGCTGGTGGTTATCAGGGCTGATAAAAAAGTCACATGGTTCTCTGTGGTACCAAACCTATGTGAACACTTAAGCTAAAAGCAGAGGTTTTCTAGAAATGTCACACTCAGAGCAAAAGCTGGTTCCTGAGCCTCAGACCTTGGGGTAGGAGCAGCATCTCCTCTTCCTGGGGGTGCAGTGCTGGTGGGTGGACTCCCAGCTGGGTCCGCCCCTCTCAGGCAGACACACACACATATTCACATGCACACACATGCATATGCACACATGCCTGGCTTGGTCCCAGTTCTTCCCTGTCTCCGGCCCTGGGTCCTAACCCCATGATCCCACCCTGAGGGCTAGCCAGTCACCCATCCTCACTTGGACCCCTTCCCATGATGAAGAGGCTATTGTGAGATAGGGAGACACACCATTGGGGCACCAGAATGGACCATGACCACAAAGGACGATTGGGCAGAGGGCAGAACAATCTAGAAAACACTGGAGAGCCGGGGAGAGAGCACGCATTACCCGTGTCCCCCCAGAGATGGCCTCCCCTCCAAAGCCCAGTCTTTCCCTGTCTGTCTGTGGCATCCTGTTTTTCATTTTTACAACACGAACACTCTGGCAACATCCCCAGGCCTAGGTATAACAAGAGGGAATGTGTCCCCCGGGCCACTGGCTGAGACAGGAAGCTGCAGGGTCCTTCTTCCCTGAGGCAGGCTAAAGGCTGTGTGAGCACAAGTACCCCCTTGTCTCCTGCTGCAGCTTATAAGCCTGGGCACCCCAGGCTTGAGTGCCAGATCCTCTGGTCCCAGACAAATGGTCGCTCATACCTGTCTGCAGCTCCAGGGCCAGGAACCTGCCTGCGTCCCTGCCCTCCCTGTCCTGGAGACTGTTGGGGACAGCTGCCTGCCTGGGAGTTCAGGACCTGCGTTGGCCTCAGGGAACCTCAGGAGAGGCACATGGCCTGGTCCACAAGGCAGGAGCGGACTCTGGGGCGGTGGAGCATGTGCTGCCTTATAGGGCTATGAGCACCTGCATGGGCCAGCAGGACTCCAAGCCTGGCCACCCTAGGGTGGGAGTCCTCCGTGCTGTGCTGTCTGTGATGGGGAAGACATCATTATCAGTCCACGTCTCTCAAGGATCACGTTCTTGAAGGATGGTCAACAGCATTAGAAATGCTGACAAGGAAGCCTGGCAGCCCAGTGTTGACTGCAGTCCTGGACGCATGGGGACAAGAAGGTGCACATAAGTGTGTGGTTGAGTCGGGAGCAGCATGGGATGACCTTGAGGTCAGGCATGATAGGGACCTGCTTGGAGGACGGTCTGGGCTAGTGTACCTTTATCCGACAGGGCCCTGCCCAGCCAGATTGACCTCACCTGTGCCCTCTGGTTTCCCTGCAGGAGCCAGAGCCCTCAGGGTGGGTGTCAGGACATGCTGATCTCCCCTCAAGACAGGTGAGTGGCCTGGGTTTAGCCTGGGGACATCCTCTCCCACATGGGACAGCAGAGTGTTTTGGCAGGCCTGGTGGGTGGGGGCGACAGGAATGGACTATGGCCCTGCGTGCTCCTGGTCTTCACCCTAGGTGGGCACAGCCCCTGGTCTGGACAGGGTGAATGTGGGGACCTCCTGCCACCCGGCTTGGGTTTGTTACTGGCCTGAATATGAACAGCAGCCACTGGTTTGATTCCTGGCTTCAGGGACAAGCCTGTGTGGGGCTGGCTGACTAGGGTGCTGGTTGGTGTTGGCCTATACAGTCACTGGGTCTGCTCTTCACCTGGCTTAGCTAGGATTCCAGCTGCAGTGGCATCCAGTATCAGCAGAACCTGCTGGGCCAGGCCATTCACCTGCCCCCGGGAGACTGGAGCCATAGGGACAGAGGATAGCCCTGGAGGCCAGGTACACAAAACTTTGTCTGAAAGGGTCAGATAGTAAGTAATTCCATTTTGCAGGCCTTGTGGTCTGTCACAGCTGCAGCGCTCTGCCATTGTAGGATGAAAACGGCCGCAGACAGCCCGTAACTGAGTAGTCTGAACGCGCTCTGATCACAGCCGTAGACCACGTATGCCAGCCTGTGGCCTTGGGTATTATCTGTGTTTGGGGGTTCCTCTGCTTATCATGGCTGCTAGCTCCAGTGGGACTGAGACATGGTGCCCAGACAGTGTGGCAGGGTTGGAGACTGAGTGGTCCCTACTCACCAGTGTACCCCAGGACCCTCTGAAGGGTGGTAAGGCATGCCTTGCTCACATCTGCACTGCCAGGGTTTTGCTGCGATGGGTGCTGTTCAGCAGAGGGGGTGATTGCTTAAAAGAATGGCTTCTGGCCACTCTTGTTCCTCCAGTCCCCAGCCTGGCCATCTGCTTGTCCCCCACCACAAGCCCTCTCTGCGGGAGGCATGGCTGACAGCCCTGTGGTTTCCCAGTGATACTTAGTGCCCAGTGTGGAGGCGTGGCCCAGCTAGTGCTGTGTTTAAGTGGTAGGAGAAGGACATGGCCTCCAGATGCCTGCGTGACCTGGGCTGAGGGCTCTAGAAGAGAGGGGAGGGACAGGATGCCTGACTCCTTGCCTGTTCCCAAGTCCTTGAGCGTGGGAAGCTGCCGGTCGGGCCAGCCTAGTGGGAGCTGGGTCTGCTGCCGCCTGGCTGTGTGGGAGGGCCAGCATCTAGCCGAGAATGTCACTTCTGAGGCCGTCGACTATGGAGGGTCTTCTGGGTTGGGACAAAGGCTCAGGCAAGGTGCTTGCCTTGCTTGTGGCACAGGTGACAGGGTGTCTTGGGGTGGCAGGAGGGGCTGCCCCACTGCCCTTAAATCCTCATAGGGTCACTGTACTTCAGGGAGGCCAGGTGAGCCAGACACCAGACGACAACCTTGGTAACAGGGTCCGCAGCAGGATGGCGGACTGGGCAGGTCCGAGGCTGCCCAGGCACACTTGCCCACTCTCCCTCCTGTTCCCTGCTCCTTTCCTGTCCCTCCTTTTCCCTCCCTGATCCAGTTCTTGGTCTTCTCTGTGTTTCTTTGTGGCCCTTTCTGTGCCTCTTTCTCTGCCTTTCCTCATCTCCTGTCCTGCCCATCTGGAATGCAGTGATTGATTATTCATGTCTGCCTTGGGCACTGATGTAGTGGGTGATGGCATTCGTGCCATCTCTGCTCTGGCCTGGGCCCTGTTTCACAGACTGGGAAGCAAAACCTGGGCCCTGGCTTCTGGCTGCCTGCTCTGCTGGGCCCTGGGTTGTGATCCTCTCCACAGCAGGAGGGAGCCGCAGGGCTCAGGTGGGACAGGGGCTGATGGAAACACCCAGGTGTCACCACGCTCAGCACCCACTCACCCAGCCTCATCACAGGCACAGCAGGCGCAGCCCTGCCCCCGAGGAGCTCTTAGCCTGGTTGAGGAGATCCGCAACACAGAGAAACCAGTGGCCAACTTCGAGGTTACAAGATGGTGATGAGTAGCAGGGCTCCCTTAGGAGGGGGAGCTGGGAGGGTGTGAGGGGTGGTGTACACTGAGACCAGGCCTGGATGAGAAGGGCTGGCCGGGACATAGATGCCCTGCCCTTTCCCACAGCTGGCCAGCACTGGTGTCCTCTGAGAGACCAGCACCAGCCCAGTCTCCTCCGTCAGCCCCGCATGCCTGCAGGGGGTTGCAGCTGGCTGCATCTCTTGCTGCCACCTGGCCCCCATGCCAGGCTTTCTCTTGGGTTTTGATGTGTTTTCAGCCATTGGTATGAGTCTTTATATATTAAAGATATTAATTTTTCACTCATCTCTCTGCCTACTGCACATTTTTCTCACTCTTTTAATTTTTGTTTATGATAGTTTTTGATGTCAAAAATGTTTCATATTTTGTGGTGAAGTCTGTTGGATTTTTCCCCATTTTTAGATATTCTGTCACTCTGTGTAGTCAGCCCTCCCTAGCATGTAGCCAGATAAACATGCACCCGTCTTTTCTTCTAGAAGATATTTTTACATTAGTTTTGTACGCAGGATTTAATCTGTCTGTCTTAGTCCATTTTGTGCTGCTGTATCAGAATACCTGACACTGGTTAATTCCCAAAGAACAAAGATTTATTTCTAACAGTTCTGGAGGTGAGATAGTCTAGGATTGAGGGACTACATCCGGCAAGGGCCTTCTTGTTGGGGCATCCCCCTGGGAGGTGGCAGAAGGGCAGGGGCACACGTGAGAGAGCCCCGAAGGAGGCGGAATGCAGCCTTTTATCAGGAACCTGCTCCCAAGATAACGAATCCACTCCCACAGTAATGGAATTAATCCATTCATGTGGCAGAGCCCTTGTGACCTAAATACATCTTAGAAGTCCCACTTTCAATATTGTTGCATTGGGAATTAAATTTCCCACACATGAACTTTGGGGGACACATTCAGCCCATAGCACCAACTATGAGTAAGCCAGCAATAAATACTACAAACTAGTATTTATTCTGATGCAAACAGGCGGCACGGATTTAACTCTGTTTTTACAGCTGCATCTGAACTGCTCCCTTTTGTTTGCTTGTTTTGAGACAGAGTCTTGCTCTGCCACCCAGGCTGGAGTGCAGTGGCACAGTCTCAGCTCATTGCAACCTTCACCTCCCAGATTCAAGCAATTCTTCTGCCTCAGCCTCCTGAGTAGCTGGGATTACAGGCACTTCCCACCATGCCCTGCTAATTTTTGTAATTTTTGTTTTAGTAGATATGGTTTTGCCATGTTGGCCAGGCTGATGTCAAACTCCTGACCTCAGGTGATCCTCCCGCCTCAGCCTCCCAAAGTGCTGGGATTATAGGTGTGAGTCACCATCCGCCGTGCGCGGCCCAAACTGTTTCTGGACTAGTGTCTTCAGTCACTAGAAATTGGAAATGCCCTGACGCCCTCAAGTCTTCGTGTTTGTGGTTGCTGGTGGTGTAAAGATGCGGTAGGGCACCTGGCTGTCGGTCTGCTGGCAAGCGTCCCAAGTATACAGCATGTGCCTCTGGGGCAGGTTGTTCCTCTGTTTCTCCTCTCTGGGACCTGTATGGGACTCCCTGTGAGCTGGCACTGCTGGAGCAGGCTGGCTCCCCTGCAAGGGTTGTGGTACCTCTGGGACCCATTTCCTGAGAACAAGGCGTAGGCCCCCACTGTGGTGGTACCCTCAGAAGCCCCCACAGCCACCTGGGCCTCTCTGTGGGTGCCTGGCCTTTGGATGCTGTATGCTGACTAAGGTTGGGGATGCTGCTGGGAACTTGGGGCCCACAGCCCCTGAGCCAGCCTGCAGTGAGGAGTGTGACTCTCCTGATGTCTGCTCACATGGCCTTTCATGGGGAAGCGGGGGTGTCCCTTGCCCAGGCTGCTATGTCAGTCTGCGGGGAGGACTGGCCTCGTGCTCCAGGGTCACAGGCTCTGGTATTCTCGTGACCCGAGGCAGAGGTGTTACAGGAAAGGGGTCCTGATCCAAACCCCAAGAGAGGGTTTTTAGATCTCATGCGAGAAAGAATTCAGGGTAAGTTCACAGTGCAAAGTGAAAGCAAGTTTATTAAGAAACTGAAGGAGGCTGGGCGCAGTGGCTCAAGCCTGTAATCCCAGCACTTTGAGAGGCCGAGGCGGGTGGATCACGAGGTCAAGAGATCGAGACCATTCCTGGTCAACATGGTGAAACCCCGTCTCTACCAAAAATACAAAAAATTAGCTGGGCATGGTGGTGCGTGCCTGTAATCCCAGCTACTCAGGAGGCTGAGGCAGGAGAATTGCCTGAACCCAGGAGGCGGAGGTTGCGGTGAGCCGAGATCGCGCCATTGCACTCCAGCCTGGGTAACATGAGTGAAACTCCGTTTCAAAAAAAAAAAAGAAAGAAACTGAAGGAATGAAAGAATGGCTACTCCACAGACAGAGCAGCCCTGAGGGCTGCTGGTTGCCCATTTGAATATATTTTTTGATGATATGCCAAACAAGGGGTGGATTATTTATGCCTCCCCTTTTTAGACCATGTAGAGTAACTTCCTGACGTTGCCATGGCATTTATAAACTGTCATGGCGCTGGTGTGAGTGTAACAGTGAGGATGACCAGAGGTCACTCTCGTGGCCATTTTGGTTTTAGTGGGTTTTGGCTGGCCCCTTTACTGCAGCCTGTTTTATCAGCAAGATCTTTATGACCTGTATTTTGCTGACGTCCTGTCTCATCCTGTGACTTACAATGCCTTAATTGTCTGGGAATGCAGCCTAGTAGGGTTCAGCCTCATTTTACCCAGCTCTTACTCAAGATGGAGTTGTTCTGGTTCACACGCCTCTGACAGAGGCACCACTAGACCAGGGGCTTATGCGTGTCCTCTTTGTGTCCCAGCCTCAGATGGGTGGGCAGGTGGTGGTTGGCGATCTGGCTGCTGCAGAGGACATTGCATTGTGGTTGGAGAGCCAGGTGTGGGCTGGCCAGCCACCCTGCTGTGTGGCTTCTTGTTTATGACTTGTGGCTGGTGGTGGGGCTGTGCCGTAGGG